CTTTTCTGTGGTGCGCTTTATTTTCCCCTTATTGACAGATGCAAATACACCAGCAGCGTTTAACTGAACTGGCCTCTTCTGTGATGATGGAGTCAGCTCAGCCCCTGTGCTGTCAGTGTGTCTGTAAATCAGAGAGTTAGTTTGTCTGTGGTTTATTGAAGACGCAGCGCTTGTTTATTGACTGAAGTGAGCTTGCGTGATATTTGCTGGTTAGGTGGAGATGAAGCCTGAGCTCATGGATCTGGAATGATAATGGATCCGTCCTTCCGGAATGCCCTGCTTCTGCTTCTCTCTCTCTCGCTCTCTCTCTCTCTCTCTCTCTCTCTCTCTTTCTCTCTCTCTCTCTCTCTGGTGTATGTGAGACTCATTCATCTCTTCCAGATGCAGAGTCTTCTTCTCTTCTTTCTCAGACACGCACACGGTCAGAGCAGACAATCCTGTTTACATTTACTCAATGCATGACGCATCATCTGACCCACTATTCATTCATTCATTCATTCATTCATTCATTCATTCATTCATTCATTCATTCATTCATTCATTCCTTTCCTTCATGTAAAAGTCATTGATTTATTCATCAAAGAATTTTCACTTCATCAGTTTTAAAAGTTCTATAACAGTAGGTTTTTTTTATTCATTTAAGATTTCATTCATTCATCCAGTCATTCAGTCATTCATTTATTTATTCAGTCATTCATTCTGTCAGTCATTCAGTCACTCAGTAATTCATTCAGTGATTCAGTTAGTCATTCAGTCATTATTGTTAGTCATTCATTCATTCAGTCACTCATTCATTCATTCATTTTCTTGTCGGCTTAGTACCTTTATTAATCTGGGGTCGCCTCCGAGGAATTAACCGCCAACTTATCCAGCACATTTTTATGCAGCAGATGCCCTCCCAGCCGCAACCCATCTCTGGGAAACATCCACACACACTCAATCACTTCGGACAATTTAGCCTACCCAACTCACCTGTGCCGCATGTGTTTGGACTGTGGGGGAAACCGGAACACCTGGAGGAAACCCACGCAAACACGGGGAGAACATGCAAACTCCACACAGAAACACAAACTGACCCAGCCGAGGCTCGATCCAGCGACCGTCTTGCGCCACTGCGTCACCCACTCATTCATTCATTTAGTAATTCATCCAATCATTCATTCAGTTATTCAGTCGTTCATTCACTCAGTCACTCATTTTGTCAGTTATACATTCAGTCAGTCATTCATTAAGTCATTCATTTAGTCACTCAGTCATTCATTTAGTGATTCAGTCATTTATTAAGTCAGTCATTCAGTCAGTCATTTAATTATTCATTTATTTAGTCATTTGTTCATTCAGTAATTTATTTAGTCGCACATTCATTCATTCAGTCACTCAGTCATTCATACATTCAATAATTAATTCAGTCACTTAATCATTCATTAAGTCATCCATCCAGTCATTCATTCATTCATATAATCATTCAGTCACTCAGTAATTCATTCAGTGATTCAGTAATTCATTCAATCATTCAGTCAGTCATTTATTCATTCAGTCAGTCACTCAGTTATTCAGCCAGTCACTTATTCGTTCATTTAGTCACATTCATTCATTCATTCATTCATTCAGTAATCCATTCAGTCAATCAGTCATTCATTCAGTAATTCAGTCACTCAATCATTCAGTCAGTCACTCATTCCTTTGTACAGTCACTCAGTCATTCATTCATTCAGTAATCCATTCATTCACTCAGTCATTCAGTCAGTAACTCATTCATTCATTCAGTCACTCAGTCATTTATTTAGTAATTCAGTCACTCAATCATTCAGTCAGTCACTCATTCATTCATTCATTCATTCATTCAGTCACTCATTCAGCCACTCATTAATTAGTCATTTGTTCAGTCATTCGTTTATTCAGTCAGTTACTCATTCACTCAGTCACTCATTCATTTATTCAATTACTCATTCTTTCAATCATTCATTCAGTCACTCATTAATTCATTCATTCAGCCAGTCAATTATTTATTTATTTAGTCAATCATTCTGTCTGTCATTCATTCAGTCTCTCAGTCATCATTTATTCTGTCAGTCACGCAATTTCTGTTTGAATAATAAATAATATAATGTTTATATAGTAATTTAAAATATAATATACTAATAATATAAATGATAAAATATAACAAAAGTATATTAATAATATATTACATTATAATAAAATATAAAATATTATCACATTTTATTACATGTTTTATTAAAATATTTATTAAACAATTTTAAAATAACCAGCAACACATAAAACTACATGCGAAATTATAAAGTAAAAAGTCTAAACATTTTATAATAATCTGTTTATTACTCTGGGGGAAAACTCTTTATGGATTTAATTTGCTTTCTATTACGCATCCTGAATAAAATGCTGAGCCTCAGCAGCGCTGTGAGTGATTCCTGAGATGTTTCTGCAATGAAAGCAGCGCTCGCAGTGTTTATCTGTGATCTAATGCTGGAATGAGTCTGAATCAGCACCAATGACCCAAAACACAGCAATGACCCAGAACCGCTCCGTGCAGGAGATCTGAGTCAGCTTTCTGAATCCTGCAGATCTCAATGTGCTCCGTGCAGTCTGAACCATGCCGGTTATTGCATCCTGTACTGTAATCAACAGAAAATTAAAAGTTGTTGTATTTTTAAAGGGTCACGAAACACCAAAACACATGTGTTTGAGCTGTTGACAGTGGTATATGTGTCCCACACTGCTAAAAACACTATTAGGACACATATATTTCACTAAAAAGTGTAAATTGGTTGTTTTTTGCGTTATTTTAAGCAAATTCATACTTCCAGTTTGAAACTAATTTTTGAAGCTGCGTCACGGTCATGACATAATAGCGTGTATTCCAGCGTGCAGACTGGACGTCTGTGCCAGAGTGTGTCTTATTACATCTTACAGTGTGATGCATTAATGCACGAGTAAGGCTTGGTTCAAACCAATCAGCGCGCTCTATTGTGCAACTTCATTAATATTCATTACTGTCAGAGTGTAGATGCCAGAGACGCCACATTGTGTTGGCAAAACAAGCGTGAAGTGTTGCTTTTAGAGTTTGCTGCAGTGAAGTTTCGTTTTTATTTTCTCTCTGTGAGAGCTCAGAGTCACGTGTGGATTATCAGTGTACGCGACGCTCGACAACAATAACTTACGTGTCTAAGGAGGATTATTGTTTACCTGAGAGCTGTTCTCATCTGCAAACGCTGAGATCCGGATTCACTTTAGTGTCCTCTTAATAAAGACGCGGCTCTAGTTGCTGGTGATTGTCCTGTCTCTACAGATTTGGTAAGTGAGCGACCAGTGCTCTTTGTTTATTCAGTTCGTATTTTATTCGTATCAAACAAACTATTGCACCAGTGTAAACAAGTTAGCACTAACAGTTACAACCAAACTATAACCTTGTGTTGGATTTAGTGACCGGAATAACACACGTGGCTTTCTGACGCTACCTGCCGTGTGCATCTAAGTTTCCGGGAAATGCTGAGTTTTTTTTTTCTCTCATTCGCCGTGCGGTATCAAACATTGCATGAAAAATACACGCTTAGAGCAGCTCCTCCAATCAAATATCTTGTTTGTCGCGAGGGACATGAATGAATTCCCTAAATAAAAGAGCCAAACTGCAGTTAAAGTCCACCATTTAATAATTTGGCAAATAATTCGACTACAGATGTCCATGTAAACACAGTCACATTGTCCGCTGTGGTTGTGTGTTTTGACTCTGAAATCCAGCGTGCCCAAATAGACACTCCCACACCAATCCTCTTTTCTTCCTCCGACACTCCCCCCTAAACAGAGCTGGACACGCCCACTTTTCTGACTCTTTCCAAAGTAGAGGTGTGAAAACACCCTGCTGAAACGAGGGGGCTTCATGGCCCTTTAAGCTGATGTGTCTAGAGGAACTCTCATTCTGGCGTAATAATCAAGGAACTTTACTGCTGTACCATGACTGAAGCAGTGCAATGATATTGTCAACTCTATTATGCTGCATGTTATTGTTGGCATCTAATTATAAAAGTCATATGAACCTTTCACAGTTTATTTGTGGCTGATAAACACTTGCTGTGCATTAAATCCCATTGAATTCCTCAGTCGTCTGAGACTCTTGCTGAAAGAAGTCAAATACAAACACAACCATTGGGGTCATTTCTTATGTTAAATTAACTTTTCTTTTTGTAAATAAGCTCATTTTACAGAGTTAAATCAATTAATTTTAGCATTTTTTAATCCATTCAGCTGACAGGAGCACTATTTAGCTTAGCATAGATCATTGAATCCGATTAGGCCATTAGCATATCACTCGAAAATCACCAAAGAGTGTCAATAACTTTCCTATTTAAAGAGGAGAGATGAGAGGTTTGCACTGACTAGGTTGTATTTCGTGTTGTTTTTAAACCCAAATAAGGACTTAAATGTCTGCTGTGTGTAGTTTTTCTGTAATTGACAACATATCAGAGAGGGGCTTTATGTGTTCATACATGTTCATTTATTTATTTATTGTATATAATTACAGACCTTACAGTAGGATATTTTGTTGTGTCATTGATCTGTAGTTATAATCAAATCATGTGCATAGAAGTTAGTAATGAACATTTATACACCAGTATTTATAAGTATGAAGCATCTGTGCTGTGACGAGTGCTTCTCATATGATATGTGAACGACCCGTACAGCTTTATTGTAGACATTTCCTCCAGCAAGAATGACAACTGAAACTTTGTCGTACACCACGACCCTTGGTACCCTTTACGCAGTGGAAACGCAAGCCTGATAAAGGTGAACCATATCAAACCGTACTGTACCACTCAGCGGAAATGGACCACTGGGTGTTTATATTAACGTGAGATGTGTGTGTGTTCAAATTCAAATGTTATTTGTCACATACACAGCCTATGATGTGCAGTGAAATGCTTACACAACCACTCGTGTATTATTACAAATAATAACAACAATCTAAAATGTGTGTGTGTCTGCAGAGCTGCCTGCGCACTGAACGCGACTACGAGAGTGTGGTTCTCATGAGACTCAGACAAGCTGAAGAGAGAAAGAGACTCATCGAGCAGATGAAGAGAGAGGAAGAGGACGACACGGCCTGACACACACACACACATTCTAAAATACATACGTAAACACACTTACATGCGCACACACACACACACACACATCAATAAAGCCTTTTATGATAAATCTTTTAACTTGAATATTTTCATGATCTTTTAAACAGCTGAAAAAACAGGAGATAATCTGCTCTAATTCATCGGCATTCCCACATGGAAAAAACACTGCAGTAATTTATAGTAAGTACTGAAGTGTATTACATAGTATAGAGCTCAAGAATCAACGTCACGTGAATTGCCGTTGGCCATGTCTATGGACAAACGCAGGAGCGGTTGTTTAAACCAGCGGAAATAACAGTAAAAATGACCGTTTTATAGTAATATACCTCACAAACACTCAAGTGAAATGTACTAATGTGCATATATGAGCAATGTCACACTCGTAGCAGTGCAATGTGGCTATATATTGATGATACACAGCCATATTGCACTGCTACTCATGTGATATTACGTTTATACAACAGTTTGACGGCATAATCGTGTGTATAAAAAAGAAAATCAAACACAGAGAGTCTCAAAAACCCTTTAGTAAGAGGAACTACTTTCTTCCGCCATTCATTCACTCATTCATTTACCAACATCACTGTAGAGCTAGTGTTTGAATGATTCTCTAGCGTAATGTCTAAAGTGGTGACAAAACAGCTGATTTTGCTCACATTTTAAGATTATAAGGCTGAACAGCATGAAATGCCATCAGTCTACAGAGATTTCCCAGAGTTTCTCTGTTGCAATCAGGAGATCACAATAATTGCTATGGTATAAATACAGCACTACAACAAACAAACGAACAGTGGTGGAAAGAGTACTGAAAAATCATACTCAAGTAAAAGTACCACTGCTTGCCTAAAAATGTAGTGTAAGTAGAGTAAAAGTATCTGTTTTGAATATTACTCAGAGTAAAATTGACTCATGAGTAAAGAGTAGGGCTTACAAAAGTACTCGTGAGTATTGAGTATTACACAATAAAAAGCTGATGCGTTTACATGTGATTTGTGCATGTGTGTAAACGTAACATTCTGTAGTGCATTTAGTTATTGCCCAGCAGGCACACAACATCATAAGACATTAATATTAGGTTAGATTTAGGTTTTGATGTCAGGTGACCAAAATTCAATGCCTAGCCAGTGTCGAAGGACAACATTATTTTGATGTCCAATAATGACATCAAATGACGTTGTTATTTGGTTGATTTTAGGTTGTTAGAAAGTGACCAAAATTGAATGTCGAGCCAACATCTTAAACCAGCGGCATATTGACGTCAAATACTGACATTTATTCGTCAGGTATGACAACCAAAATCCAACATCTGATAGATGACATAGTGGTAACGTCCACACAACGTTAAGCTGTGAAATTATTAGACGTTGATATTTGTATGGTTTTAGGTTAGACATTGACGTCGGCCTGACGTTGAGTTCTGTTCTTAACCCAATTTTCATTTCCAAACAAAATGCAGCGTCCCCATTGCGTTGGGGACTAACATCAATCTGACGTCATGTTGACATTTTGTGCCTGCTGGATGTTTAAGGCCAATTCAGTCATCATACAGTAAACATCCGTCATCTTCTCATCAGTGACATACATCTAAACAGTCTTTGGGTCAATGCGTACATATCCTCTCGAAATTAGTTTGTGAAACTTCACTTAGTTTAAAACCTGAATAAATATGAACTTACACACATTTACACAAGTAAATAAACAGAATCAATGACGGGCTAAAAATCTGTGCACACAGATTCCGTGTTAGCCTACTAATAAGTGAATATATATAGTACAAAAAAACTCAATAGAGATCAATGGGAATCAGGCTCCCTTGACCTAAACACCCAGAATGCATTGCGCCGTTAGGACACGTTCCCAGGATCTTTTGTAAAATACTTGACATAATCTGTTGTGGTCATTCTACAGTTGCTATGGTAACACATGAACTACAGTATAGTATGACACTTCACTGTAGTAAACCACAGCATTGCTTACTGTATGTAACCCCGCCGGTCCTACATCACCCAACCCGCTCCAAGCTGGAATTGAACCGACAACCTTCCGCATGGGAGTCGGTTGCTCTAACAAGGAGGCTAAAGACCATGGCCTCTAGCATCTGTCGCTAGAGCAACTTTAGAGGTCAGAGGAGTGAGGTTTACCTGCACAGCACTTACTAGCTGGCCTCCGTTACACTCACCCTCCTAAACCTCACTCCCATCAGGGTCACGGCACCAATGTAACCCCGCCGGTCCTACACCAACCAACCCTCTCCGAACTGGCATCGAACCGGTGACCTTCCGCATGGGAGTTGGCTGCTCTACCAAGGAGGCTAAAGACCATGGCCTCTACAGTATGCTGGAGCATTCATCAACAAAAAGTGTAGCTACTAAATAATACTATAGTATTGTTCAAAATCACTGTAGTATTTACTATAGATCACTGTAGTGTGTTTTCCTGTGGGCTGTGTCCGCATCCTCTGGTCATCAGCTACAGCAGATGTACAGTTTCTGGTGTTTGCTGTCCTCGCGGCGTCACATGGTTCTGTTTACTTCTGTGGGCTTTTCTTTTGTGTTCCTGGAAAGACTCTCTTGATTTCTCATTACAGCTCAGGAAACACAATTACAGCCGCTGTCCTGGAGAAACGTCCCCATGTGGCTTCACCCCACGTCACCCCGAACCCCTTCATTTAGTCATGCAGTTTCAGTAAATACGCAGTTACACTCACTCGTTTACATGCGAAGACTGAATTATTCATTCTTGTGTGAAATTTTACTTCTTTTACATTTATTTTTAATAAGTTGTTAAGACATAATGGTTTTAATAACTCATTTCTGTTGTCTTTGCCATGATGGCAGTGGCATCCGTTGCATTAAACATGTGGCGGAGTTATTGGCGGTTCATTTCTGTGTGGTGACCCCTGTCTGTACACACAGTAGAAGCCATCCTTCTATGTTAAAAGGGGTTTTATCTCCTAACCATCTGTTACAGCTACGAAAGAAATTTCTATAGGTGAATTACCATGTTTGTAAACATTCAGGATGTTAAAAAAAAAAAAAACGGGAGCATTTAAAGCAAGGGAATGACATCCGATGCGGTGCAGAGTTTGTTGTTGTCTTGAAAATAAGTTATATTGATTACATGTTATATATATATATTATTGACATGAAGCTTTCAGCGTATTATAACAGCTCGTCCCCCATTGATAAGCACAATGATTCAGCTAAATTAACGTTAAAGTAAGCGGCGTTCATCTGACAGGTCCATTTGTGATAATGGATTTTGGATAAGACGAAATGGCCAAGTATCCAGCCCCAAATATGCGACTCTCACTGAAGCTCCAAGAGATTTTACATGAGAGAATGGATGCCGACAATGTTGTTCTGTGTGGTCATGTGCAAGAAATAATGCTCCATGACGACCTGATTCAACACTATATAGTGCTAAAAACCGAGATTCTGCTTAACTAAAGACGAGGAAAAAAGACGGAGCTGATGTTATACAAGGCTTGGGTAATCATCAACAAGCAGAACTGACAGCGAATCTGACAGCGAACTACACCTGAACTTACGGCAGGGTATGTGAACGCACACACAGAGGTAAAGTTTGATTTATCTTCATACATTCGGACTTATAAATAATATAATTATGTAAAAGTATTATTCGCAAACTCTAATCCTATTAGCAGCCAATGACTATTAAAGTACAACACTGTTCACAGTCAAATAAACAGTGTTAATGTTGTTTTAGTCACACTTTGCTGTTTATTTCAGACTGAATATTCAAAGTGTCGTGGTAAACACTATAGGGAGTGTGTCACAAGCACTGAATGAATGTGTGAATATTAAACCAGCTTTACCTTAATAACTTACACTTTCATTCTGAGCATTCAGTGTCCGCGGTTTAATATCCATGTGTAACTGTTTTTGCTGAAATCATTGCTGCGATCAAAATCCAGTGATGTGTCTGATTCAGCGTCAACTCACCTGATATAACATGAAACCTGCAGAGTCCAGCATTATTAATTAGGTCGTTACTTCATTCAGCTCCCTTTAAGCCAAAGACGTCTGCAGTGGGGATTAACAGCCGTGTGGGGTACGGTAAATGTTAGGTTTTCTTAAACAGAATCGAATTTGGCATCCTACCGCACAACACAACAAGTCTACTATTGCCACCTGTCTCTTTTTGCAACCGGGAACATGTTTGACGTCATGTGTGATGTAGGTTGGTAATTCGTCAATACAGTAACTATTTCAGTTTCTTTTGAATTATTTGAGAATAATGCATTATAAGAGTTCTTGTCTGTGATTATTTTGTTTTGTTATTGTTAGTGCTGGGCAAAAATCAGGATTAAACACAAATTAAAGCTTGATTGGATATAATTGAATTGTGTGTGTGTGTGTGTGTGTGCTGTGTGTGTCTGTGTCTATATATATATATATATATATATATATATATATATATATATATATATATATATATATATAAATGCATGCATATATTTGAGAAAAAGTATATTTATGTATAAAATATGAATGTGCACATGATACAAAGTATATATCAATTTAAAAATCTATGTAGCAAAATGTTTTGTATAGTTTTGTTTCTGCGTATGTGTGCGTATTACATATACATAATAAATATACACTCTCTGGCCACTTTATTAGGTACACCTTACTAGTACCGGGTTGGACCCCCTTTTGCCTTCAGTACTGCCTTAATCCTGTGTGAATTGTAGCCTCAGTTTCCTGTTCTTAGCTGACAGGAGCGGCACCCGGTGTGCTCTTCTGCTGCTGTAGCCCATCCGCCTACGTGTTGTGTGTTCAGAGATGCTCTTCTGCAGAGCTTGGTTGTAGCGAGTGCTTATTTGAGTTACTGTTGCCTTTCTATCAGCTGGAACCAGTCTGGCCATTCTCCTCTGATCTCATCAACAAGGCATTTGTGCCCACAGAACTGCCGCTCACTGGATATTTCCTCTTTGTCGGAGCATTCTCTGTAAACCCTAGAGATGGTTGTGCGTGAAAATCCCAGTAGATCAGCAGTTTCTGAAATACTCAGAGCAGCCAGTCTGGCACCAACAACCAAGCCACGTTCAGAGTCACATAAATCGCCTTTCTTCCCCATTCTGATGCTCAGTTAAAACTGCAGCAGATCGTCTTGATCATGTCTACATGCCTAAATGCATTTAGCTGCTGCCATGCGATTGGCTGATTAGAAATTTGTGTTAAGCTGTTGGACAGGTATACCTAATAAAGTGGCCGGCGAGTGCATATAACACACATTTATTGTCAAAACAAACTTTCTAAATTGAATGTGATTATTCTTTGCCCAGCACTATTTTAATATACTGTAAAATGCCCTCAGATGTTTGTACACTAATTAAAAACCTTCTTAAGGTAAAACTTTGGTTAAAAACTGAATAATAAACACATCGTACTTTAGAACAGATTATACTTTATTTAATAATATTTTTAATCACAGAAACCCAAAATAAACGACAAGATCTACAACAAACACAAAGTTTACAACAAACGTAAGACTGATGCACGACATAGCTTTCAAAATATCACACAGAGCAAAACAAATACTACATAGAAATCGTTTATTTCAGATGTATAAAGAGACATTTTACTACCTTTTTACTCAATCAACTATTATATTACAATCACAAAACTGTGTTAAAAGTGCAAAAATTAATTCAGAAATCAGGAATGAGAGGAAGTATTGCTGTTTCAGACAGAGTTCAGATGCTGCACACGTTTGGAAATTCTCTTCCTATATGAAATCTGACTGTGCGCTGGATTCTTCAATGGTCGTGTTTTACCGTGTTTACCTGTCTGCATTCACAGGGTGTTACTGCTCTCTTTATGCAGACACCAGACCAGCGTTTGACCCACTCCTGTCATACTGACCACTCTGTAGCCGATCTTATCCAGTTTGTCTAAAACCAGTCTCGGCGGCTCGTCCACGTGATATTCAGAGCTGAAAAACACAGACAGATCATCAATACATAGAGATGCATTAAAATTCTGGAACAAAAAAATTGAAAATTGGATGGATGGATGGATGGTTAGGTATATGGATAGATAGCAAGATGGATAGATGTATGTATGGATAAATGAATGGTTTTGATTGGTGGATGGATGGAGGGATTCATAGATAGATGCATAGATGGATGGATTTATAGATAGATTGGTGGAGAGATAGATGAATGGATTGATAGCAAGATATATGGTTAGATACCAATATAGATAGATGTATGGATAAATAATTGGCTTTATAGATGGATAGATAGGTGGTGAATGGATGGATGGAAGGATAGATTTATAGATAAATAGATTGGTGGATTTATAGATGGATGGATGGATGGATAAATGAATGGCTTTATAGATGGATGGATTAATGGATGAATTGATAGATGGATGGTTACAAAGATAGATGTATGGATAAATGGATGGATGGATGGATTTATAGATAGATCAGTGGATTTAGAGATGGATAGATGTGTTAAGCCTAGTTCACACTACAGGATTTTAAACATCAGCAGATCGCTGTGCCGTTCACACTACATGACTTGACTTTGTGTCTTTTAATCTCTGTGGTGTTCACACTACGCAACACTCTGCGAATGATCCACAAGAGGGGGGTCACACACTACATGATCTGACAACAACTCATTCCCCATCAGCTCATTCAAGCTATCAAACCACAGCCAATGAAATTTTGAGGGAGGAGTCGTCAGAAAAAGCTGAACACTATTGGCTGCTTGTGTGCTGATGACATCACTGACAGCGTATCAAGCTTTGGAGAAAGCATTTAAAAACATCGTCAAATCAGCTGATTTATGAGCGCATTAATCACTCATCTGCAAGGTTCCAGTGGATAGATACACAGAGAGTTTTTAATTTTTGCAATTGTATAACTCTTTGAAATAAAACTAACATATTTATAACACCCTGCCGCTTTCTAACTATCAGTGTATTTCTTTCTGACATTGTCATTTTTTTATTACAAAACAGTAAAGAACTGAGCATTTCTGCCTTAAATTACCATATTGGTCAAAATGACTGCATGCATGCCTGATACTTTTCACTGTGACTTTAAATATGTGTGCATTTTCTTGCCTGGCAACTTCCTGCTAACATAAACAAAACTTTCTGATGGCAAAAACATCAATTTACTTCAGATATCTTTCAAAACAGCATATTCTGTGCCGAATAGCTCCTGTTTGAAAGTGAAAATGAAAGCCAAGCCCTTTAAGTGTTTTAGTATCTTAACTACATATTTATAGGCTGTATTACCAAAAAAGATGATATTTTTAGGGTAATGGTGTCATTAAATATGATGCCAGACATTCAAAGCTTAATTTTAATATCTCAATAATAGCTCTGAATGTAAATATGTTGTGACAGTATGGCGTTTTATATGAGAACGGTCAGAATGAGCAGTATGGTAATTCTAATAGTTACAGAACTCTAGTTCCACTGTTAATATAGCCTACTCTCATGTCTGTGCTAACGCAGAATGAAGCGAGTGCACCGATGCCCATTCTGACCAATCACAGATGTTTCTGCTGAGCTCCTGAACACACAGGCGTTCAGCTCATGCTGATCTGCTCTCTCATTGGCTGCAGCTCGCCACTACATCTGACCACACGTGGGGTTGAGTCGGCCGACTGCTCTGGAATATTTAGCATGCTGAATGTTGGATTTCCGTCTGCGAGGTGTCGGCGACGCGTCAGCGAGCCTCGTTGATGGGTTGCTCAGTAGTTCACACATAAAGAGCGGCGAGCGCCGAGCACCCGCAGATTTCTTCCCGATCACAGCCCGATCTGTCGGCGAGCTCGTTAACTTCCAAATCGGGCTCAAATCAGGCTTAAAATCCTCTAGTGTGAACTAGGCATTAGATAGTTGGATGGATGGATGGATGGATGGATGGATGAATTCATAGATAGATGCATAGATGAATGGATTTATAGATGGATTCATAAATAAATTGGTGGAGAGATAGATAGATGGATTGACAGATATATGTTAGATACCAAGATAGATGTATGGATAAATGAATGGCTTTATAGATGGATGGATTTATAGATAAATAGATTGGTGGATAGATGGATGGATGGATAAATGAATGACTTTATAGATGGATGGATGGATTTATAGATAGATTGGTGGATATATAGATGGATGGATTGAAAGATATATGGATAGATAGCAAGATAGATAGATGTATGGATAAATGAATGGCTTTATAGATGGATGGATGGATGGATGAATGGATGGATAGATTTATAGATAGATAGATTGGTGGATTTATAGATGGATGGATGGATGGATGGATAGATTTATAGATAGATTGGTGGATGGATGGATGGATGGATAGATTTATAGATAGATAGATTGGTGGATTTATAGATGGATGGATGGATGGATGGATAGATTTATAGATAGATAGATTGGTGGATGGATGGATGGATGGATGGATGGATAGATTTATAGATAGATAGATTGGTGGATGGATGGATGGATGGATGGATGGATGGATGGATGGATGGATGGATGGATGGATGGATGGATGGATGGATGGATAGATTTATAGATAGATAGATTGGTGGATTTATAGATGGATGGATAAATTTATGTATAGATAAATGGATGCATTTATAGATAGATGGATGTACTTATTTACATATATAAATGGATGGATGGATGGATGGATGGATGGAAGGATAGACAACTGTGTGTTAAGCAAAAAAAGTCATTACTTGGATAGCTCCTACATCCCAAAAAAGGTATGGTTATTGGCAATATTTTTAAATATATACCTTTACAACATATAAGACTGGCTTTGTAGTCCAGGGTCACACACACATATACACTCCTCTTTTGAACTCTGATATGTCCTCATAATGTTGTGTGCATTGCAAAACTGCTGTTACTCTGCTAATGAAACCTTCACTTACTGCTGCAATGAAGATCAATAAGGATTGGCCATCAAGCTGATCACATTTAGCCATCAAACTTGGCTCAACACTAAATTTGCCAGTGTTTCACCCAGCGCTTTACTACAGTCTCTCGTAACCCTGGTCAGTAACATTTCATCAGCTTGTGCTCTCTTGACTCTAAGGGTGTATAGATTATTGTGTGAAACTGAAACAGGTTACTGAACACTCACAAGTTGTTTCCCAGTACGGTGATTTTTCGGGCTCCGAGATAATTCATGATGGAGGGATCTGAATACTCGTCTCCAACCATAGTGGGTCCTGTCTCCTGAAAACAAACACCCAATTCACTCAATTTACTTAATGCATGTTTGTTTACAACTTAAAGATGGATGGATGGATGGATGAATGGACGGACGGACAGATAGATAGATAGGTGGATGGATGGATGGATAACTGAATGGATTTATTTGATAGATAGATAGATAGATAGATAGATAGATAGATAGATAGATAGATAAATAGATAGATAGATAGATAGATAGATAGATAGATAGATAGATAGATAGATAGATAGATAGATAGATAGATAGATAGATAGATAGATAGATAAATAAACAGATGGATAGATAAACGGATGGCTAGATAGATAGATGGATGGATAGATTAATCAGTTTAACATTTGCACAGTTTATGTATGATTTAAAAATGTAAATTAAAAATAAACGCAAAAAATAATAACTTAAATGAAAATATAAATAAAACTATTTAGAAGTAAATTGAAATAAAACATATTTGTATTATTTAGTTAATTAATGTTTATTTATTTCACAAACACTCAATTCACTTAATGCATGTTTGTTTACAACTTCATAGATTAATAAATAAAGCAGTAAAAAGATTTGCACAGTTTAAGAGTGATTAAAAATGTGAATAAAAAATAAATGCAGAAACATAATAAAAATATAAATAATACAATAATAAACATTATTCAGAAGTAAATTTAATTTAATTCTAATATATTTGTTTTATTAAGTCATATAATGTATTCATTACACAAGCACTCACATAATGCATGTTTCTTTACAACTAAATAATAAATAAATAAGGCATTTTGACATTTGCTTTATTATTATTATTATTATTATTATTATTATTATTATTTAATGATTGCAGGTTTTCTCCTCCGTGTGATTCAACATAACCCTGTGTTGTAATACTACAGCATGGTGATGTCTGCTGCGAATCTGAATCACTTTCACTTTGCTCAGGTGCACATCAACTAGCCTTGATATATCAGTCCACTTCCTCATCATACCAACACAATGATTCATAACACAATAACAACATACTAAACACCAAACAACACACTCTGATAGCATGTTAACGCGTCTGTTCTGCACATACAGTTGTGTACACTTGTATATGATCACAGTAATATGTGTTTACCTGCACCTGTAATCCTCTCATGCATGCTAATATGATAATCGCGGATGTGTGTGTGTGCGTTTGCTTGCATGTGTGTTTGTGTGCATGCATGTGTTTGTGTGAGAGATACACACCAGGCGGATCTGTGTGCTGATGAGGATGTAGGGCATCGCGGATCAGACTTCTGTTTTCTGCTGAATCGCTCCGGACTCTCTTTCGCGTCGCGTCGCGTTTTGCTCGCACGTAGAGGAATGAGGAAACGCCCACCGCGATCCTCCAATCAGCGCCCGCAGACTCACAGCGGAAGGCGGAAACTCCCATCGCTCTCGGCCAATCAGCGTCCAGCAAATCACAACCTGCTGTGGAAAGTCAGTCATGAGGATGTGGTACTTTGTCATGTCAGTGTTTACAAACAGGATTTACATGCAAAAGTATTGATTCAAGAAGATGATGTGTAGCTTGTATTCTATATGTGTGAGGGGGAAACATGGATATATGGACATACAGTTGAAATCAGATGTTTACATACAATATATAAAAAGCCACATCACCATTTAAACAGAGTCAGATGTTAATGTGACTAAACTGTTTCTCTTTTAGGTAAGTTAGGATGATCACATGTTTCAGCTCTGCTTAATATCAGAATAATGAAAGAGATTTGTTGAGAAATTGTTATAATTCTTCTTGAAAGTCAAGTTTACACACAATAAGATTATTCTGCCTCTGAAAAAGCTCAGATGATTTGGTCAAGGTTTTGGGGGTTTCTGATTGACTAATTGACAACATTTGAGTTAATGTGAGGCACATCTGTAGAATAGTATTTAGGGAAAGCTCAAACACACTGCTTCCTTGTGTGACAACATGGGAAATCAGTAAGCCAGAATCAACAACAAAGCAGATTACAATTTGCTGAATGACACTGGGAAAAGACTGATGTTTGGAGACATGTCCTGTGCTCTGATGGAGCTAAGATTGAACTGTTTGGCCATAATGAGCAGTGTTACATTTGGAGGACAAAGGGAAAAGCGCACAAGCCTATGAACACCATCCCAACTGTGAAGAATAGGGGCGGCAGCATCATGATGTGGGGCTGTTTTGCTGCAGGAGGGACTGGTCCACTTCACAGCATAGATGGCATCATGAAGACAGAACATTATGGAGAAATACTGAAGCAACATCTCAAGACATCAGCCAGGACATTACAACTTGGCCACAAATGGCTCTTCCAGACAGACCATGACCCTCAGCATACTGCCAAATTAGTTCAAATGTGCTTTAAGGACAACAGAGTGAATGTTTTGGAATGGCCATCACAAAGCCCTGATCTCAATCCTATAGGAAATTTGTGGGCAGAGTAAAAAAGCTTGTGCGAGCAAATCTGACTCAGTTACACTAGTTCTGTCAGGAGGAATGGGCCAAAATTCCTGCAAACTATTGTGAGAAGCTTGTGGAAGGAGACCCAAAACATCTGACCAAAGTTATACAGTTTAAAAGCAAAGGTAAAAAATACCAAGGAAATGTGTGTAAACTTTTGACTGTCTAGAAATTAAATAATTCTCTTATTATTCTGGCATTTAGCAAATGTAAATCATTTAGGTAATCCTAACAGACCTAAAATAGTAAACGTTTAGTATGATTTACCATCAGACATTAAAAAAAAAAAAAAAAAAAAAGGTTATGTTGCTTTTTTTAGAGAGTATGTACACTTCTGGTTTCAACTGTAAATATATGAAGAGTTCAGATGCAAAAACCTCTAAATGCCCTCTGAAATGTTCTCCTAAAATTTGCATTTTCTATGTTTATGTTCAGTTATTTTCACTTTAAAGGCAATGATAGAAAATGATCAATCTATAAAAATAAAATTATTGAGTCTACTGAGGAGACAGAGAAAATATAGAAGAAAATATTAGAATATTAGAAGAAAATATTAAATGGCATTTGCATCTAAACTCTGCATATATAAACCATTTTGAGGGATGTAAAAAAAAAGAATGGTCCCAATGCGTATTCCTTGATTTACATATTTAATTTCTATAGCTTCTGAGAATCCAAAAAGAGTCACATATTGATAAAAAATGTTGTGATAGCGGTTTAACATCAGGTTATGATTGAATTGCCTCTTGTTACAGTTATGGAAAAGTTTGATAATAAGCAGAAAATGTTCATGGGCCAATGACATTGCCACATTGAAGTGGTATATATATATATATATATATATATATATATATATATATATATATATATATATATATATATATATATATATATATATATATATATATATATATATGTAGAGTGCAATATGGCTGTCTATCAGGTGGGATAAAAAGCCACATTGAAAAGACAGGTGGAGGTGAGGCAGGCAGTAGCTCTGCCGCACTGAAGGGGGCGGACGTGAGCTCATGGTTATTCTTCTTCGGTGGTTGCTCTTCAGCTTGATTAGCTAGCCCAGGTGTGTCTGATTGGTGCTGGAACTAAACTTTGCAGGACACCGACCCTCCAGGACTGAATTTGGACACGCCTGTTCTACGTAGTCAAGTAAAGTTAAAGGAGTCCTTTATTTCCTGTTTTTTTATGACTGACTGCAAAAATGGAGGATGTAATATCTCAGCTCAAAAAACTCTCACAATTAGACTTTTGATCAAAATGTGAAGTAATAAATAATGGACGACCGATGCTGGAGCTAAAGGACTTGCTTCAGACGACGGGACAGAAGACAACCTGATCAATACAAAGTCATTCAAGTCATTTTGAAGGTAAGATGCGTGTGCAAATCGTGTGTGTGTGTGTCTGTAAATGTGAGTGAGTGAGCAGTGTTGGGCAAGCTACTTGAAAAATGTAGTGAGCTAATCTATTAGCTACTCTACTTAAAATGTAGCTTAACTACACTAACGCTAACCCCTGGGAAATGTAGCAAGCTAAGCTAAAAGCTACATGGCAAAAGTAGCAAAGTTACATCTATGCTATTTTAACAATTTTCATTTGTATATTGAAGCAACTTAAATCCAAGTCAATCATATCTTAGTGATTAATAAAACTGTCAATGAATCATATGAGGAAGAACAGTTTAGTTCAGTTATTTATTGTAAATAATATGCTGCACTAAATAGAAACACATTATAGTATATAACAGCTAAAACAAACAAAAAAATCCAATGAAACCAGGTGTTACACAGTTAAAATACTATAGTCGTTTACAGTAAAGGGACATATTTTTGGAATAAGCATTATAGTGTGTGTGTGTGTGTGTGTGTGTGTGTGTGTGTATACACTAAAGTATTTTTAATTTTTTTTAACACAGTATCAGAAATAAATTTATTGCATCGTAGCATGTCCTTCTCGAGGTATGGTCACAAAAAATCCTGCTTCAGAATCCTCACTTAGTCATCTTTCCATCAAGAAAGTTTACCAGAGGTGGCAGTAACGCACTAAAAACTTCGTTGTTGAACACCATTAAACAGAAAGAAGAAGAACTTGTCATTCTCGCCATCATATAGATTTACTTTCATCAGCTCTGTGAAAGTTGGTGCCGTCACTTATTAATCCGCAATCTGTAAATGTAGCTTTGTGGACGCTACTGCGATACTTCACTATTAAAATAGCTTCGCTACTGAAAAGCTATTTAACTTTGAAAGTAGCGACGCTTCCGCCACGCTACTGAGAAATGTAGTTAAGCTAGTAGCGTCACTACTTGTAGCGTAGTGCTACAGTGTGTGCATCTGTAGCATCCGCCTTGTTGTTTTTTGGCAGGCATACTGAACCGCTATACATTTGACATTCTTTCTTGGACCAATAGGTCTATGTACCTGCTATGTGTTTAGAAAGAATGCTGATATGAGAAACACAATTGGTAGTTGGCAAGTAAAATACTGGCTGCATGTGTTTTGAAGTCAGTGCCTTATCAGCCACAAACCTCACCGCACTGACACTATATATGGATGGATAAATGGATGGATGGATGGATAGATGGATGGCTAATGAATAGATGATTTTGTATATACAGTTGATGGATAAATAGATGGATGGATGGATGAACGGACGGACAGACGGATTGATTTATATATTTATAGACAGACGGATGGATGATGAATAGATGTATTTGTAAATACAGTAGATAAACTGATGGATGGAGATAGATGGATGGATGGATGGATGGATATATTGTATATCTTAACTTCGTGTTTTAAAAACACTTTGTGTTTTTACGAAGTGTTGTCGAAAGTTTGACTCCAAAAAAAGCATAATCATGTTCCTCCTAGTCTCTACAACGGTGTGCTCGAAACTGAAACCTGTTGGTAAAAACAACCATGCAGGCTTCGTTTCTTCCTAGCTCATCTGGGGCCTCATGTACGAAGACTTGCGTGGAAATCATACTAAAACATTGCGTACGCACAAAGCTGTAAATGTGCGTACGCAGAAAAAATTCAGATGTATGAAACACTGCGTACGCCGAATCCCACGCATATTCTTTTGTACATCAGAATGAACGTGAAACTGAGCGCAACATGCACAAGTGCAAAACCCCTCCCTGCCTCCTCCCCCGTATGAATATGCTAATGACTCTACTTTGGCAAAACCCAACGGAAAAGCAAGCAAGAAGAGAAACTTTGAACAGAATGTGAATTGGAGGTGCTGCTTTCGGAGGTAGACCGGATGTGACGACCCCTTGTGGTCGTTTGTGGCTGGGGTGTGGGTGTCGGTCTGTGCATCTGTGTGTGTGTGTGTGTGTGTGTGTGTTGCAGGTCCAGCTGATTGCGCTGGGATTGAGAACACCGGTTTGTGATTGAGTTGCTCTGCTATAAATAGCGTGTTCGTTTCAGACGAGGGGAGGCTGCACGTGGAATCTGGTCACTTATCTTTCGGCTGGGATCGGTTTTGGACCTGATGGGCTAGCAACATGACCTTTGATAATAGTAAATAAATATATTTTTGTACCGCAATTGTACTCGACTTCTCCTTATTTGTGGTGACCGGTTTAGGTCATAACAAATGGGGGCTCGTCTAAAACATTTTTCTTAGACTGGTAAAATTTGGTATTGTTTGTATAATTTTTGTTATTGTTTTGGATTTTGTTAAATTTGTTTTGGTTAATTGGTTATGATGATAAAACTGAAATTTGATTTATTATTGGGAGAATCGAGTGCAATTGTATTGAAAGAATAGACTTATTTTGTGTAATTCCATGCACAGCTGGTTGACATTTCAAATAGCCCTGTGAATTAATTTCGTTGTTAGGATTAAGTGATATGTCTCTTGGGACATGTCAAATT